TTTTAATTAGGATATGCACCTTAAAACAGCAAGGAAATAGGCATCCCACTAAGGGGCATCCCACCCTTAGCCACCCCCTGGCTTGTCAAAGCTTGCTAATCTGCTCTGTTATAATTAAAGCATGGTCTTCCTTTTCATCCTGATTCCTCTCCTCTTACCTAGATGATGAAAACTGTCCCTTAATCCTGTCATGTATGCTAGAACCACTAGGCTTTATTGTGCTTCTGTATATCAATGCGGTGAAGAAGACTTACCCAACGGTCTGGGTAAAATGCAGCATGTGCTCCCACAGGTCGTGGGGGTGGGGGCAGCACCCAGTGGAGCCCATGCTGCTGAGCATGTTGTGGTCATTTATGGTCACGGTCCTTCTCAAAGGCTGTCGGACTAAGGACTCATCAAGCAAAAGTTCAGATTCCTGGCCCTTTCTTCAGAAATTTTGACTATGTGGGCAGATGGGAGGGTCCCCGTACTCTTCCTGTCAACAAAGCTCCCAAAACACCCCAGGAAAACTGAGTCCTAATTCTCCCTTCTCTTGTAATCCCATGTTGCTTCTGTGGTCGTCAATGGCAGGTCACCCCCTTTCTGTCTGGAAAAAAAAGGTGTTTGAAGTGGTAGTTTGCAGTCCCTGATGTGCTGATTAGAAAAGGAAGCAAAAAGTGCCTGGTCCCTGTGGGGCCGCTGCATGGACTCGATGGATGGAAGGGGTAGAGTGCTCTGTCTCCCTCCTTTCTCCTTCCATTTTTCCTCACTGCCTTTCTGACCTGTCTGCCTCCCTTCAAGCTACAATGATTGTTTAATGAACACTGTTTTTTTTTCCTTTAATATAAAAACAGACTGGTTCTGATGTTGCTATTAATCCCTCTTTCCCGAGAGTCCCCGGCATTGAGTCTCAGCTGTCTGTGATCGTTACCTGTGAACTGTGAGCTGTAATTTGTCTTGGCAGGTTAATTAAAAGTTTAGGTCTTGCTTTAGCAAAGTCATTATGGTCCCAATATACAATTATAATTCTCGGGTTTGCTTAACACACAAATTGGAATATGACCCTCCTTTCATTACATGCTGAAACACAGATCGAGAATTCAAGAAGACCTGAGATGTCAGAATTCAGCGTATTTATGTCTGCTTGTAATTAAGTAACGGGAGAAATAATTGTGTTTAACAAATGGCTGCATTGTGTACGATTTTGCTTTTCCCTCCATTTAATGCAATCCAGCTGATGACTCTAAATTAAATGAGTTTATCTTTTGCCTTGAAAAAAAATATCTAAAAGCACTTTCCAAAGTGGATATACAAATATTTCCACACAGAGACCTCATGTTGACAGAGCTCTCACTGGACTGGATCTAGGCCACACTCATGCATGCATGCACATGTACACATACACACACACACACACACACACACTCCCCACTGAACCCAAGCTAGTTTTAGAATAAAATATGACATCTGTTCTCAAAAGCAACAGTCTTCCCCTAGCATGGGGAGATCCAGAATCAGCAGGGACCATTTCTACCCCTGACTCCCCTGCGGGGTGATAGTCTTGCAGACTGCAAGTGTTAATGAAGTCACAGGATCCCACTGGCTGGGCATACCCCACCAGCTAGAGTCTAACTCACCTTTGCAGTTTGCAGTGGATTTTTGCATGCATTCTTTAAGACTTACAGTAACTCCATGAGGAGACAACCCTCCCCGCTGCAAATGAGGAAGCTGAGGTTAGGGGTTGCTGCAAGAGAAGCTTGATGTGATTCACATCTGCCTCACTGCAGCGCTTGGGGTTTCCTTGTCTTTAGCACGTTGCCCCCTGACCTGGATCAACCCCTTGTAAGTTTTTTGTATTTAATTTGTTTTCCACACAGTCATTGGTTAATTTATTCATCAAATATTGAAAGCATGTCTAGCATGTGTTGGAGACCATGCTTCACTCTTATGTAACTTACAACAGCCTTAGGAAAGAGGTGTGTGTGTATGTGTGTGTGCGTGTTTGTGTGTGTGTGTGTGTGTGTGCATGCACAAGTGTGTGCATGTGCGAGTACATATGCCAAGTGATAATATTAGGTGTTGTTCCTCAGGTACCATCTACCATTTTTGCTTTTTGAGAGAGACAAGGTCTCTTCCTGGGCCAGAACTCACCATTTAGATTAGGATAGTTATCAAGCCCTAGCACTGGGATAATGTGTACCACTAAACCCAAGCTTTTTTTTTTTTTTTTTTTTTTTATGCAGGTTCTGGGAGTTGAACTCAGGCCTTAGTTCTTGCAAGGTAGACATTTTACTCACTGATACATCTCCCTAGCTTGAAGAGAGATATATTAACTTCAATTTAACTTAACAGATGAAGGGGCTGAGGTTTGGCATGTTTAGATGACTTGTCCAAAATTAAAGACAAAGCTAGAATGGAAACTTGAATTCTAAATCCCCTCAGGTCCCCACCATGCAACAGAGTCTCGCTATTTGTCATAGATACGATTTAATATTTCATTTCGGTTTGTGTTCTATGGATCATAACTTCCCCTTGTTAACTTGCCTCCCAATTATAAGCAAGCACCTCACATCAATTCAGGAAGTTTTCTTGAGGAGTCATTAAAAAGACCGTGGTGAAAAATCTTACGGTATCCAAAACTTTAAAAATGAGAATACTTTCCCCTGGATAGCTTGCCACCCCCAGGCCTGACAAGTTAGCATTGAGGTATTTTGGGTCTCCAACTAGCAACTTATCTTTTCATTTGGGTTGCTGCCGAAGCATGAAAGGACAGATCAACCTGACACAGAGTAGCAGAGGTGGCCTACGGTGGATTTGAAATCCAGACAGAGAAATGAGAACCACTGTGAGAAGCATCAGACATGGGAGTCTTTATAAGGAATGCGATCTGGTCCTCCGGTGCTAATTGACAGGAAGGGTTCACTTGTTTATGTGCAGACAACTGCAGAAGTCTGTCCTCCATCCATCCAGGCACTTCAGTTCACTTCATATGCCTAGCAGTTCAGCTCCTTTCTTTCCTTCCATCCTCCTTTCTCCTGGCTTTCCGTCCATTATCTACCCTTGCCTTTTTCCACGCTGAGTAGCTAGAGAAAGCAGCTAATGGTTTGGATTGATGGAGATGGGGTTTATACAGGAACAAACTGCCTCTATGCCAAAGAAAAGCGCAAGGAGGCCATTCCAGGGGGCAGGAATGGGGGAGGGTGTGTCCTGCTGAGTGGTTCCCAGAGGCTCTTGGGCTAGAGGGACATATAATCTGGCCCTTAATGCGTGGGTAGCATAGTCATATTTGAAGAAAATAGGG